CAAGTGTATTGAATAGAACTATCATTATTAGAAGGGTTACTTTGAAAAAAATGTACGAATCTGAGAGACAAAGTAGATTGGGGCCTTATATTTAAGACCAAAATAAAAGTCAAATAAGATTTTATATTAAGAATCGGAGGTAGTAGTAATTATTGGATTGGCTTGAAAGATAGCGCATGGGAAACGGATGTGGGTTTTCATTTATTTAAATAATAATAACTTTCTTTTTCATTAAAAAAGTATTAATTTACTCTTCGCGTGAGAAAGTTAGTGCGAAAGAAAATAAAGCATAGCATTTGATGTCTTGCTTTGAGCATCATCCCTCCACGTTTTGTAGTTTTCTACATCTATATTAGTTGGCTTTATTTTAATTTCCATTTTGCAGTATCTGGTTGATAATTATATTTATACGTATGTGTGGATATATATCATTGTAATATCTACGACGTATGGTTACAATTAGAATTGTTACTCAGAGTGTCCACCTTGATATGAGTCGACGTAGATGAGAAGAATTTAATTTAATATTTTTAAGTGTAAAGTGTCACAATCATTGTATATTTTATTATTACTTCTTAGCATAGGGGACATCCAGGCATAAAAATTTGGGTTTTTGGAACCAACTAAAAATTTGGGGTTTTTACTGCCAAGCTATTAGTTGAGGTAGTAAGCGGTCTCATCCCTATAAATAGAAAAAAACAAGTTTAAATTTTCAAAAGAATACTTGTTAGAAGAGATGAAAACCTTTTATGCTTTAAATCTTGAAAGGAAAGACTCTTGATTAAAAAAAAAAAAAATTGGGGTCTTTTAAGGCTTAGAATTTTAAGTTTATTAATCTTTTATTGAAAACTATTCGTTTGGATCTATAAGAACTTAACTTCTGGAAAAGTTGAATTGGGCCGACAAATCCAACAAGCGTCATGTAGTTAACGGGCGATTCAGATATTGTCACGTATCTTACTAAGACGTGTCTTGGGCCGCTTTTTGAAGTGCACAACTAGCTGGCCCAAGAAAACTACAGAAACCGTTTTTTGTACTGTCCACATAAGATTTGTACACACACACACAACAAACAAGATTGCATTCGAATTCCTGTTGGAAGATATCCACATTTAGTATCTGATAATATCTTCAATAAAATTGCTTTTAATAAAAAGATACCTATACTTTAGCAAAAAAAAAAAAGAAGATTGCACTGCACCCAAAAAGATATAAAAATAAACAAGATTGTATTAACAATAAAAGGACTAAAGTACAAGGTTAGATCATATAATCCAAGGTGAAAATCCAAATGTAGAGTAAATAAAATGTCCTTGTAAGAAAACATCAAAATGTGGGAATTAAATGCACCTTGTTCTGCCAATGACCCTTAGATCAGTTGGCACTGGGGCCTCCATAGTGAGGCTAGAGAGCGGTTGGATCTCGTACTGTGCGCATGTTTCCTATGCAATAAAAAGATGAGGCTTACTAACGGGAGTTGGCCAAGTGGTAAGTAGCTTGGAACCGCTTATGCGAGGTCTTGAGTTCGAGTCTCAACGTATACAGAAATCTCTGTTGAAAGACTCACCTACTATAGCCAAGTGCGCGACGCGGGTCAGATCCAAATGTAGTCGGAGCAAAGTTCCGGTGAACTGGGTAGGCAACCAAAAAAACAAAAAAAGATGAGGCTTGGTTCTGAAAGCTCTAATTGTCAAATCGCAAAGCTAGAGCTGCACGTTGTGTCGTCCATATTTATTCCTCCATTTGATGCTGTGAAGAATATGAGTCCATTTTGATTAATTATCCAGCATCGCACACATTTCATATTTTTTTATTTTTTTCCCCATCAAAAGTTTGTCCACCCTACATAATGAGGATTAGAATTTGAAAGATGAGGGGAAGCTAGAGTGATAAAATATCTTTAATTTGATCATTGTTTCCATCTGTGTACATCCTGAAAAGCGAAGAAAAGATGTGCGAGGCTATGTTTGAATGAAGGAAAAAGTGAGAGATAAAAAAGGAATGAGGGAGTACTAGATAGGAAAATGGAGAGCTTTTGCTATTAGCATTCTTTTCTCCCTGATTTCCTTTCCCCATGAAAAAAGGGTTAGGATCATGATGACAGAAAACTGATGCGCAGATATGTGGATAAACAAGCAAACCATATACTTTTGGAGGGGATTCATCGTGCAAAAACATGATCAATGATTTCTTGTTTAGAACAACCAAAATGGACACATCTTCAAGTTATTACAATTGGGCGTGCATACAGGTCACACCAAGTTAAACTTTAGCTAAATAGGCATGATCTTGTAACAAGAGTTAAAACCTTGAGCGTAAATCTGAACCTACATATATGCTTTATTTTAGGCTCGCATTCAAAAGACTTGGCGGGCTTGAAGTTTTTTTAAAAGCCTATTTATAATGTAAGCCTTTAAAAAACCTTATGTTGTAAGCTTGAAGGTGGTAAATAGATTTTGAGCCTATTAAAACCTATACAAATGTAGCTTTTAGTACACTTTAATGCTTACATATTTTTCTATATATTAATAAAATAGAATTTAAAAAATTAATCAGGCCAAGCCTGTAGACTTTTAGGTCAAACTTTAAATTTAAAAGCCTAACCTAATTACCTTAACAGGCTTTTAAATAGGCTTTAGCCTTAACTATATGCTAAATAGTTCAGGTCATATCAAGCCTCCCATCAGGCTGGTATATAATCAATGGATGAGCTTTCAAATAAAAATAAGATATTTCTCTAGTCTTTAACATAAAAGCTACTTAACTAATTTGGAGAGATTAAAAAAAATAAATAAGCTGCTTAATTTTGATAAATGTAACATGATTTTCCTCTAATATATAACATTATATTATATATTATTTTATAAATTAGATAAATTAGTTTGGAAAAATGATAAATATGAGAGATAAAATGGATTATTAAGGTCTTATATTTAGAACAAAAACTAACTCTAACTAGTTGGCTCTTACATTTAGGACCAAATGAATACTTTACTAGCATCTTAATCTTCTATATATAAAAATGAAAAACCTCAAATGGGTTAAGATGAAAGTGAATTGGTAAAACTACTAGGATGTTGATTAACTAGAAGGTTGAAACCGTCTTTAACCTTGTATTCTCCATTCTTTATGCCTTAGATAAGCTTGTCATCTTGGTTGTAAAAGGAAGAGGGGCGTTGAGAATGATATTTGTCGCAGGACTACTATTTATATATGTGTGTGCGTTGCAAATTTAGGGGCTCATTCTAGATTTTGTCTGGCCAAGGAGATGGTTAATGCAAATGAGATCCCAACACAACAAAGATTAGGATTAATTAGAGTGGTTTGGAGATTAATATTTGAGGGATACCATATAGAGGATCATGATTCACAGGGATGTTTGTTCCGTTGCCAATCTTCCATTTTAACTTGGAAATATGATTAAATCTGCACGATAATTAATACCCTTAATTACTAAACCATGACGAATTATTGTAAGGCTTTATAATAATGTTAGGAGTATTCATGTTGATACATCTTTCTTTTACCCTATATCTGGTACGAGGAAAATGAAAGAAAAGGGAGAGGAGAAAAAAATTTTAATAAGCTCAATTTGAAAAATTAAAAAGATGTGGTTATAAAATTTTGATAAAGAAAACATGTAAGATAAAAGAGTAAAAGAAATTAATTAAAAGCTGTTCATCCCACCTCTCTATTTTTTTCATATGGAAACTCATTAAAATTTTTCTTCCCCTTTCTTCCCCCTTCATTTTCTTCATACCAAACAGACTCTTATCTTGCAATGAATGAGAATTATATATGATTGATGATGCACCAGTTTTGTTTGGCCAGCTATGAGGGAATTATTGACCATTGAAGTAGGTCTAATTAGTGATTCCCAAACCTCCTTTATTCGGTAGGAGTAAACAGAAAGCTTCTATTTTAAAGATGAATCTTCGTTTTATCATCCAAATCTAAAAAAAAAAACCAAAAAAAAAATCTACGCAAGCATGGTCAATAAAATTCACAGAAGTAATAATAGAGATAGATGCATATCTCTTTCTGGTCAACTGATAACTAACTGATCAGCCGCCAATCTATACGGAATCACCACTTCGACAATTAAGCCCCGCAAAGTGCGGAAAGTATATATATATATATATATATATATATATATATATAGAACATCACCTAAACAACCATATGCTTGACAAGTTTAATTAAGACTAACGTTGGCTGATTAAAAAAGTCCAACAATAACTAACTCTTGCAATAGTCCATTGATTATTGGCTTTCCTAGCTCTGCCATGGTTTTCTATTCTCCACAGGAACAAATTTATAGCTGTCCTAGTCATTAATTCAGCATTTCTTCCCCTCAAAAAGGCATTTGATTTTATTTGAAAATTATATAGCTTGGTTTTGTATATATGCATTGTACGGAGGAATTTGCTGTGACAACTGAGTTGTATTGTTCATGGTTTTATCAATAAATAGAGTATATGTCCCTTGTCATAGATTTTATATTTTGTAACAAAATTAAAATTATAATATAGTGAGAATTTTGTTTATGGGTGATATACGTAAATATCTATATGAACATAATTAGCTTTGAAATTAAACTCATTTAAATTTTTCTACCAATTGTGTGATCCAAACTAAACAATTTTTGTCATATGTTGCAGTCAGCAATGTCCCTCATTTGTCGCGCAAAGCCATCGGCTTGACTTTAATTCAATTCAAATTAAAGTCGAACTCAAATGTCTCCTATTATATAATAATTCACAATAATTCACATCGTTGAAAATTCCACCTTCCCTCTAAATATTCTCTTACAAAATATCATAAAACCCTTAAATGCCCTTCAAACGATCCCTATAAATACACTTGCTGGCTAAACTACACTTTCATCCTCTTCCAACAATACATCAAGCTGCCTGCAACTCTCCAAAGCCCTAATTAAGCTAATTGATTTTGGCCATCCCACCGTCTTGTTTTGATATATCCTCCCATATGGCCTTGATGAAGATTAGCTTGATGGGTTTTGTGACAGTTGTTCTTCCATTATTATTATCTCTCGCTGTGCAAGGAACTCTTGGTGAGTACTCCTAATTCCATCGACACCCAAAATTTAATATTCCCTCCGATCTCATATATAAGCAACATTCTCTTGGATAGAGTTGATTCTGTATATAAGCAATACTTTCTATTTATGTAAAAATTTGATGCACTTTTCATTTTTACCCTTGATCGATTACATCTCTTTTTCATCATTTTTCGCACTCATTCTCTCTTATATCTTTCCTCGCACATTCTCTCTCTCTCTCTCACTCATCATCTTTTAACTAATTTTAACCAATATTTTAATCTACCTGATTTGATTAGTTATTGCTTATATATAGGACTAGAAAAAGTAATATATATTATATCAAATAGCCATTGGACTGATCATGAGGTAAAGCTAGTTCTCAAATACGTACACATTTAACTTACAGCTAACCAGAAGGCTCATAATAATATTGCAGGAGGGGTAGAATGTGAGGGTCTAGGCAAAGAGAAGTGCTCGTTTGCAGTATCATCTGCTGGAAAACGATGTGTTCTTGAGAAGATAGTGAAGAGGAGCGGCATGGAAGCATATATCTGCAGATCATCGGAGATTGAAGCAGACAAACTGATGGATCACATCGAGTCTGATCAGTGCGTCGAGGCCTGTGGCTTGGACAGAATGTCCCTTGGAATCTCATCAGACTCTCTCATTGACTCTAACTTCACCAAGAAACTCTGCTCCACTGAGTGCTACCACAATTGCCCTAATGTTGTTGATTTGTACTCCAAGCTCGCCGAGGTCGAAGGTATATAAACACTAACTAGATCCTATAGTTTCTTTGCCTTTGATTTTGATAATTGTTTCATCAATTTGGCCTCATATATAATGGGTTGAGATGCAAATTTACCCTGAAAGTTTTCACTAAGGAGGGCTAGGCACCCAAAAGTTTTTTTTGCTGTAAATTTATTTAGAAAGTTTGAAATCGTAGCAATATTACTTTATATTATTAAAAAACTAACGTTAACCATTAAAATAGTGATGTTGACATGCTTTGAAATTTCCACATATGTGTGCGTAGGTGTGTTTCTTCCCAAGTTATGTGAAGCAAAAGGTGCGGATGCGAAAAGAGCAATGGCTGATGTGAAGAGCTCTGGTGCTGTGGCCGCATGAACGAACTACTGTGCATCCTGAATCAAAATGGACCAGCAGATCCACCAACTTGATTTTTCAATCCAAAGAACAAATAATATATATATTATTTTTGTTGGTAATATATAATTGTTCAAGTTACGCTAAGTGATGTAGCTGTTATGAATATACCATCAAATATATTTTGTTCATTTATTGAATAATAGTTATATATGTATAGATACATACTGGATGGACTGTTGTCTTCTCACAGGCAACAAGGCATAGCTTCCACTGTTCTACATGCATTTAATGATTAATTACAAATGAAAAGCAAAGCGTTTTTTCCCCCTCATCATACTTATAGAAGAATATATATATATATATATATATAATCAATTCTCATATAATTTACAAGCTTTGACTTGATGTCAGTTTCATCAAGGTTTAACATTCCTTTTCCAGCCTCACATGTAATAATGCTTCATTAGCTGAACGGTGCATATTAATTACTGCCTTTTGATGTGTATAATATTGACAGTAAAATTTGGGAAAGTAACTCGTCGCATTTTTAGGTAATTAATTGTGTCGGTGAATACGAGATATTTATTTATAAGAAAAGAAATTAACAAAGAAGACGGGTAAATGACATCTAAGACATTGGCCCCCTAAGAAAACAGAGAGACTCTGGGAATTTTTTTTTTCATATTTTTTAAAATTTTAATTTGGAAATTATTTTTATAATATATTGTTTCAATGGAATATATTTTAAATTTTATATTATGCAAAGTGAAATTAACTCAGTAATTAATCATATTTTTGCCTCTTCTTCAAAATCTAAAAAGACACTCAGATTAATTCATATGACAATTAGTTTAGCAAATACTGGTTTTCGTATTAATTTACACACACACACACACACACAAGAATTTTACTTCTCAAATTTCCTTGAGAACTACATAATTTTGTATTCGTCTTTAATATAAAAGTAAGATAACTAATTTGAAAAATATTAAAAAATTAATTAGGTTGGTTATTTATCACAAATGTGTGTTGATATCCCTAAACTATCATCTTCAATCATGTGCATTAGATGATTAGAATTATATCTTGGTGAGAATCCCTTGCAATCAATAGGGATATTTTAGAAAAAAATGATAGATAAAGTGCATTGAGATTTTATATTTATGATTAAATTTAACTTTCAACTAGCTTTTATATTAACAAAAAAAATTAGCTCTTTTATTGAAGATTGGTGGTAATATATTATATACCTTTTTGGTAATATATATGCCTCTATTAGTGTTCATATCCATCCCTAGTATTACAATTATAATATGAACTAATCTTCAGGCGGCTAATGATGAATACATTTTGACTTCGTTAACATTAAATTTTTTTGAGGCTTCCTCAAGTACGAGACCAAAGGTTGAAAGTTTGATAGGCCAAACGAATTAATCAACAAGGCAAGTATCCAGTTTTGATTAGAAACTAAAGTCTATTCTCTTGTCTACGGATACCTACCTCTAAACCTAATTTCGTTCCCTAATATAATGCTTTAGAGGGCAGTTGTGTCCAACATTTTTTTCACACACACACACACACATGCATATATAGCATAATTTAAATATGAATCATCAAAAAATTTTCATTTGTTAAATTTCATAAACGAAAGTTACATTTTTCCCTAAAATCTTTTTCTTAATAAAAATGTAATACCTCTATTCGAAAATGAAATGTTTGTCATTTAAGTTTGGGTATTTCAAACATGCCAAGAAAGTAATTAGATAATTTATCATGGTAAAATGTAATAATAGGGTTTCACAAAATTACCTTGGAATATATTAACTCGCTGATTTAATAAATAGCTATCTCATTGAATATGTTCATTGTTTTTATTAACTCAAAATGAATCTCTCACTCTCACTCTATCTCTTTCTCTTTGGACTAACTTTGCCGAATGAATTTTACGCTCGAGATTTCCTACAGAAAGCCAAAAGGGCATGTGCTTCATGTTTATTATGTGATCCCCGTTTGGCAAGATTTATTATGTGATCCACGTTTGGGAAGATTTCTCTTTTTCCTTTCTTGTCTTTTCTTTCGTTTTCCCGACATGAAATATACAATTTCCAAGGAACTATAATGCAGTGGAGTGCGTGAAGAATTAACTGTAGAGGAAATCAGGAAATGTAATGGTTTGAGTCGTGCCAGAAGGACACTGTCCTTAAGAGATATTCTGCAACCCCTCTGTGACTCAGGAAGCGGCACCCCCAGGATTAAATGAACCCTTCTTGTTTCTCCGAACAAGGGAACAGAACAGCAAAAGGAAAATCACTGAGCAGGGCAAGACCACAGTGAAGGAAGGAAGACAAGAGCACTCTGCTTGCGCTTTCTCACTACGCCTTTATATAGATGTGAACCGGCACACAAGACTGGAGACATGTCCCTCTATTCCTCCGAATAGACACAACAGAGACATGGTCATCTCTGTTGAAGGCAAAGCATCTTGAACGTTGGGTGCCAACGTTCACCTGTCAACGAACTTCGCATGACGCGTCTGTAGGCCACAAGAATTGGTAAACGGTGACCTATTCAATTTTAGGATCCAAAAAATAAGGTTTTCAGGTAAGACACTTAATAATATTTTTTGAAAAATTAATTAACTTGATTTTCCAAAAAGACCCGTTACCGTATCTAATTCACGTGCTAGGAGGGCGGGATCGCCAGTTTTCAACTGCATTTCCTCTCGGTGGCCCTTTTATTGTGCGCGCAAGGCCCACATTCCTCTTGGTCCATTTACTTACCCATGGGAGCATAAGTTTATATATGCACTTGCACTTTCTCTCGCCCATCCCATGTGGGACTTAATTTGACACACACACTCTTCACTTTTCTCAACAATTCCCCACATGTGTCAAATGAAGTACCATTGAGTTATACATATGGGTATAACCGTTGTATCTAGTGTCTTTTCTGACTATAAACTAGACCTAAACCAATAACACTTAGTACATAGAGATGTTAGTGAAGCCTGCTTCTATGAATCAACAACTCTTAATGTGTACCAGAGGTGTTAAGGGTCATATTATACCCCCACATTTCTATTGTTAACCGACAGTTTTGGGTGTTAAAATGGCTATGCACGTGCTTGGTTTATAACGAATGCTCTAGAGATTTTGCCACGATCTCATAGGAGTGGCCCCACTCCACATTTGTAGAGGTGATTTCATTTAGATGTACTTGCACTACATACACCATCCCGTAGGATTATGAAATCATTTAGAGCTTTAACTCAACCTCACCAAAATGCAGTCTAGCACTTTTCTACACACCATAGAAAGGGACTTAAGAGAATCATTCAGTGCTAGCAGAACTAACAGACGACTTGTTCTTACCCATTGAACCTCATTCATAGGATCACTAATCACAAAGGTTGGGTTGCCATCACTGTTAATTTCTAACTCACTTTAGTCCCATTTCCCTTGATGTCTCAACTATCTGTTTCCTCCCTAGGGGTTTTGTTAATGGATCTGCTATGTCTAATTCTGACCTCATAAAATCAATTGAGATTACCCTGTCTTTTAGCAGCTGCCTTAAAATATTGTATCTCAATCGAATATGTCTACTTTTACCATCGAAGGTTTTGTTTTTAGCCGTGACTATTGCCGATTGACTATCACAATGTAATGATATTGATGATATAGGCTTGTCACCTAACGGGATATTTGCTGAGAAGTTTTTCAACCACTCAGCTTCGGTTCCAGCCAATTTCATAGCAACTAACTTAGAATCCCTTAAGGACTTGGTTATGATGCTTTGCTTGGCTGACTTCCAAGTGACAGCATCACCACCAGGCATAAAAACATAGCCACTAGTGGATTTTGTCTCCTTTGAATTTGAGATCTAGTTAGCATCACTGTATCATTCTAATACAGCGGGAAATCCACTATATCATATACCATAATTCATGGTACCTCTCAAGTATCTTAATAGCATTATCAGAGCCTCTTAATGTTCACTGTTTGGACAGTGAGTATATCTGCTCAACCTATTGATAGCGTAGACTATATCTAGCCTAGTTTAATTCATCAGATGCAATAGACTCCCAATGATTTGTGCATATTTAGATTGAGTAACTGGATCTCCTTCATGCTTCTTTAGATACACACTAGCATCATAAGGAGTGCTTAAAGGAGTTTCATCAGACTGTTCAAACTTTCTCAGAATTTTTTCAACATAATGTTCCTGAGAAAGTAAGATGTCATTCTCATCTCTTGTGATCTAAATAGCTAAAATAACCTTTGCTTCATCCAGATCTTTCATATTAAAGTTTGAGGCAAGGAAACCTTTTGTTTCCAGTACAACATTCATACTAGTACCAAAAATAAGCATATCATCCACACATAAACAAATAATGACATAATCACAATCCACAACTTTAGTAAAGACACATCTTTCTACTTCAACAATAGAGAAACCACCACTCATTAAAACTTTATCTAACTTCTGATGCTACTGTTTAGGTGCTTGTTTTAAACCATATAGATATTTCACTAATTTGCACACTTTGTTTTCTTGTCGAGGAATGACACACCCTTTAGGCTGTACCATATAAATTTCCTCTTCTAAATCGCCATTTAAAAATGTTGTTTTAACATCCATTTGATGAATGAATAGCTTATGAATTGAGGCTAATGTAATTAGAATTCTAATAGAAGAAATTTTTGTTAGAGGAGAAAAGGTATCAAAGTAGTCAACATTCTCTTTTTGGGTGAAACCTTTGGCTACAGGTCATGGTTTATATTTATCTATAGATCCAACAGGAAAAAATTTCTTTCTAAAGACCCATTTACATCCAATAGGTTTTGCTCCTGGAGGAAAATCTACCAACACCCATGTTTTATTTTTATTCAAAGAATCTATTTCAGCATTAATTGCTTCTCCAAAATTCTGCATCTGCAGAAGAGACAGTTTCATAAAAATTTTTGGGATCATCCACTAAAAATGTATAAAAATCATTTCCAAAGAAAATTTCTTTTCTTTGTCTTTTGTTTCTTCGTAAACTTTTAGTCAAGTTTTCATTTAAATTTTCTTAAGGAAAACTTTCAGCTCTGTTAGGAGCATGTTCAATTTTTAAAGGAAAAATGTTTTCAAAAAACTTTGCATCCTTGCTCTCAATAATTGTATTTTGGCTTAAAACCAGAAAATGATAAGCAACACTTTGTTGTGCATAGCCAATAAATAGACAGTCAACAGTTTTGGAGCCAATCTTTCTTTTCTTAAGATCAGGTAGCAAAACTTTTACAAGAGACCCCACACTTTTAGATATTTGAGATTAGGTA